CGTTCTCAGATTTCAACCTCCGTGCTGGGAGATCCACTGCTCTCTTCAAAGCTGTCAGCAGGGTCATTAACATCTCCAGAGGTTTCTGCTGCTTTTTTTTTTTTTTTTTTTTTTTTTTTTTTTGCTATGCCCTGTCCCCAGAGGTGGAGTCTACAAAGACAGGCAGGCCTCCTCGAGCTGCAGTGGGCTCCACCCAGTTCGAGTTTCCTGGAAGCTTTGTTTACCTACTTAAGTCTCAGCAATGGTGGGTGCCCCTCCCCCAGCCTCACTGCTGCCTTGCAGTTAGATCTCAGACTGCTGTGCTAGCAATGAGGGAGGCTCCGTGGGCGTGGGACCTTCCCAGCCAGATGTGGGATATAATCTCCTGGTGTGCCATTTGCTAAGACCCTTGGTAAAGTGCAGTATTAGGGTGGGAGTTACCTGATTTTCCAGATGTCGTGTGTCTCAGTTTCTAAAGGGATTCCCTTCCCCCTTGTGCTTCCCAGGTGAGGCAATGCCTCACCTTGCTTCAGCTCTAGCTGGTCGGGCTGCACCAGCTGACCAGCACCAATTGTCTGACACTCCCCAGTGAGATGAACCCAGTACCTCAGTTGAAAATGCAGAAATCATCGGTCTTCTGTGTCGCTCATGCTGGGAGCTGGAGGCTGGAGCTGTTCCTATACGACCATCTTGCTCACACCCCCCGCAGCTTTGTAATTTCAATAGCTTTAGTAGTTTTTGGTTACATGGATGTATTCTATAGTGGTGAAGTCCCCTTTAAGTGTACCTATCACCTGAATGGTGTACATTGTACCCAAAAGGCAATTTTTCATTTCACTCCTCTCCTACCAACCCCCTTCTCTTTCTCCACTGTCCATGATACCAGTCTGTATGCCTTTGCATCCCCATTGCTTATCCCACTTAATGAGAACCTGTGGTATTTCATTCCTGGTTTACTTCACGTAGGATAATGGCCTCCAGTTTCATTCAAGTTGCTGCAAAAGATATTAATTCATTCTTTTTTACAGTTGAGTAGTATTCCATGGTATATGTATATATGTGTGTGTGTTTTTACATATATATATTTATACACAGACACACACATATGTGTATGTGCATATTTATATATGACACATTTTCTTTTTCTTTTTTTTTTTCTTTTTTTTGAGATCGATTCTTGCTCTGTTGCCCAGGCTGGAGTGCAGTGGCATGATCTCGGCTCACAGAAAGCCCCACCTGCCAGGTTCACACCATTCTCCTGCCTCAGCCTCCAGAGTAGCTGGGACTACAGGTGCCCACCACCACGCCCAGCTAATTTTTTGTATTTTTAGTAGAGACAGGGTTTCACCTTGTTAGCCAGGATGGTCTCAATCTCTTGACCTTGTGATCCACCCACCTCAGCCTCCCAAAGTGCTGGGATTACAGGCGTGAGCCACCGCACCCGGCATACACCATATTTTCTTTATCCACTTATCAGTTGATGGGGACTTAGGTTGATTTCATATCTTTGTACAATTATGAATTATGCTGTAATAAACATACATGTGTAGGTATCTTTTTAATATAATAACTTTTTTATTCCTTTGAACAGAATCCCAGTAGTGGGATTGCTGGATCAAATGGTAGATCTCCTTTTAGTTCTTTGAAAAATCACCATACTGTTTTTCACAGAGGTTGTACTAATTTACATTCCCATTGGTAGTGTATAAGCATTCCTTTTTCACTGCATCCATGCCTACATCTGTTGTTTTTTGACCTTTTAAAAATGGCCATTCTTACTGGGGTAAGGTAGCATCTCACTGCAGTTTTAATTTACATATGCCTAATAATTAGTGATGTTGAGCATTTTTTCATGTTTCTTGGTCACTCATATATCTTCTTTTGAGAAATATCTGTTCATGTCATTTGCCCACATTTTAATAACATTATTTCTTTTTTGTTTTGCTGATTTGTTTGAGTTCCTTGTAGATTTTGGATATTAGTCTTTTGTCAGATGTATAGTTTGCAAATATTTTCTTCCATTCTGTAGGTTGTCTATTTACTCTGTTATTTCTTTTGTCATGCAAAAGGTACTTAATTAGGTCCCATTTATTTATGTTTCTTTCTGTTGCATTTGCTTTTGGAGTCTTTGTCATAAATTATTTTCCTATGCCTATATCCAGTGGAGTTTTTCTTAGGTTTTCTGCGAGAATTTTTACAGACTCAGATCTTAGATTTAAGTCTTTAATTCATCTGAGTTAATTTTTGTGTATGGTGAGAGATAGGGATCCAACTTCATTCTTCTACATGTGGCTATCCAATTTTCCCAGTATCATTTACTGAACACATATTTTTTTCTACTTGGTCGAAGATCAGCTGATTGTAAGTGATTGGCTTTATTTCTGGGTTCTCTATTCTGTTCCATTGGTCTATGTGCCTACTTTTATACCAGTGCCATGGTGATTTGGTAACTATAGACTGGTAGTATAACTTGAAATCCAGTCATGTGATGCCTCCAGATTATTCTTTTTGCTAAGGATTGCTTCAGCTATTTTTTGGTTCCATATGAATTTTAGGATTGTTTTTTCTAATTCTATGAAAAATGATGTTAGTATTTTGATAGGAATTGCATTAAATTTGTAGATCACTTTGGACAATATGATGATTTTCAAAATATTGATTCTTCCTATCCATGAGCATGGGATATTTTTCCATTTCTCTGTGTCATCTCTGATCTCTTTCATCAGTGTTTTGTGGTTCTTGTTGTAGTGATCTTTTACCTCCTTTGTTAAATATATTCCTAGGTATTTTATTTTTTGTAGCTATTGTTAATAAAACTGAGTTCTTGATTTTATTCACAGTCAGTTGTTATTGGCATACAACAGCGCTACTGATTTGTGTACATTGATTTTGTAACCTGAGACTTTATTGAATTCAGTTATCAAATGTTAGAGTCTTTTGAGGGAGTCTTTAGGGTTTCCTAGGTATACGATCATATCATTAGCAAACAGAAATAATTTGATTTCCTCTTTTCCAATTTGGATGCCCTTTATTTCTTTCTCGTGCCTGATTGCTCTGGCTAGGACTTCCAGAATGAGGATTCTTAAGGGAAAAGAAATCACTTTGCTCTCTCAGCAAAAAAACATTGACGATTGACTCAGCAAGCCTAGATGGTTCAAATCCTGCACACTCTGAAATAAGCTCTGTCCCTTGAATGACTCTCGGAAAATACACTTCACACTCTTGGAATATTCTGCTGGATAACAGATCTTTCTTTACCTTGGGACTTGGGCCATGCCAGATGGTTGATGCTAAAAATGTGACTTGTGTTAGGGCCCTAGGACCATGAGATATCAACTTGACCTCTAGAGAGATGAGAGACTGAGTAAGATCAGCCGTGTAGGATATTTGATGGCTACATAACTGACCCCCCAACAAAAACCCTGGACACCAGAGCTAGGTGACATTTCCTGGTTGGCAACCCATATTGTTGCTGGAGAGTCAAGCACTGTCCATATATCTCTACCGGGCAAGGATACCTGGAAGTTTGTACCTTGTCTCTCGTGGACTCTGCCATGAATGCCTTTTACCTTTTCTGATTTTAATCTGTGTCCTCTGAAGGTAATAAATGGTAATTGTGAATATAACTGCTATTCTGAGCCCTGTGAGTCCTTCCAGGGCATCACTGAGCCTGCAGATAGTCATGGGGCTCCCCAACACACGCTTTCAACAGTAAGGAATGAAGAGAGGCTATGTTGCAGGGTAGAAAAACATATCAGAACTGAATCCCCACTCTGCCATACACCTCTGGGTGATCTCATTGAAATCAGTTTATTTGTTCATCTCCTTTGAGATTTAAATACGATTCTACATTATATATTCATCCATTTTAAAATTAAATATTCATTGAATGTGCCACCTTTTTGTCACATAGTAGATGTTCAAAAAGTGGCTAAAGGTAGAGATGATTAATTGATGTGGCCAGTATGTGAGCTTCTTCACTCTATTTTAAGTTCGTTAGGTTAGGTAAGGACTCTAAATTTGGACATATGTCCCTCTACAAGTTTGTAGACAGGTAAGTTCACAGTTTGTAGTTAATAAATGAGCATTTTCATATGGTTACTTGGCTGTCATTTTCTCTTTATTATCTTGAGCCAAGTCCTCTGATTTCAAACAGTGTTTTTTTAATCAATTGTATAGTACTGGAGGCTTGGGAAAACAGCCTAGATATAAAAATCCCTGGGACAGCGCCAGAATAATATTTGGAATATAGTAAGTGTTAGTTGAATATAAACACCTAGAGGATTTTGTTCCAAACACTATTGAATAGGTATATACATTTTCTTTCTTATGCAATAACTGAAATACCAGAAAAATGAAGACTCAGGATATGGAATGAAATATAATTTTTTGCCCAATTTTTAACAATGACTACTACACTGGGGGGATGCCTTTGTTGTGGGGTGAATTGTGTCCCCTCAAAAGATGTATTCAAGCTCTAATCCCTGGTACTTTTGAATGTGACCTTGTTCGGAAACAGGGTCTTTGCAGATATAATAAAACTATGATGAGGCCATACTTAATTAGAATAAGCCCTAATACAATGACTGATGTCCTTATTAGAAGAGGACAACTTGGACACAGAGGGAAGATGGCCTTGTGAAGACAGAGGCAAAGATTAGAGTTATACTGCCACAAGCCCAGGAATGCTAAAGATTGCTAGCAACCACCAGAAGCTGGAACAGACAAAGAAGGAGCCCTCCTTAGAGCCATCAGAGTGAGCATGATCCTCCCAACACCCTAATTCCAGACTTATGCCTCCAGAAATGTGAAATAAGTTTCTGTTGCATTACACAAAGCTACCCAGTTGTGGCAGTTTGGTACAGCGGCCCAGGCAGCCAATACACAATGCATCCCCCATTCTATCTTGTCATACATAGGTTTTTGGTCATTGTCTATTAGTGCCTTGACAGAATATAATCTGCTCCCTGGAAGGTAGAAGGAAGCGGCCAGGAAGGTGGAGGCAGAAGGAAGTGACTCACCACGGGACTTCGGCCAATGCTGCTCAGGTGGTAGAGGAGGCCTTTTGCATGGTAAATGGTTGGCTGCAGATGAGCACTGGGAGAAAGCCATTGTCTGTTCAAATCTTCCCCACTCAGTGAGCATCTGTGGCTACAGGAACAAACAATAAGCAAATAAATACACATTCAGAAGAAAATAACTTGAGAAAATAAAGCTCCACAAGATAAACAATTAAACTAATGAGTTCAAAACTTTCCTCTGATTTCTGCCCAATTGGCATCAATTTCAGATGTCCAGAAAGCTGTAGATCTGTCCTTTAAGCTCCAAAGTATCATAATTATTCACAGCCCCCAAATGAACTAGAAACCATATTTGACTTGCTGTTGGATTATCAGAGTTTTAAGACAAAGTTGGAAAATGTAGTTCTCTATTATATACATCCATGGGGAATAAATTTAATAAATTTCTCTAGGCTATGGATTCTTCAGTTCTACAGATAATTAAGTTGTATTCAATCTATCATACTGGGTGTATTACATATGATATTTCCAGCTGGCTCAATAACTCTGCAAGGTAGACATTAGAGTATGATTAAATAAATGGCTGGAGATCTAGGTCATAAGAAAGAGCTAGGTTCCCCCCCCCCCACCCAGGTTTATTTGCTTCTAACTCTTATTCTCTCTCTTTTATTGCACTGCTTGATATTTACCAAGATAATCAGAGTGCCTTTTTCAAATATATCATCATGGTATGTTAGAGCAAGAATGAGCTCAAAATCATACATTCCCTCATTTGGGGAATGATGATGTTCGTATTCAAAAGTGCCAAGTTACTTTACAGAAGTGCCCCAGCTGGTAGTGAGAGGATTGACCGCCATTCACAGTGAGGAAACTGAGATGCTGAGTTGTCAGGTAGAGTGATCCTAAAAACCCGCAACCACCAGAGATTACCAAGGGCAGCCCCTGCACAGGACATGTTCCCAGTAGTCCTGCTAAAGTATTATTTACTCAATAGTGTCAATGAGCTAAGTGCCACAGATTGGGAGGATCAGTGCAGCATCTCCAAAACCTCCAGCACCCCCAGATCCTCCCAAGCCCTCCACCATTGTCCTTCTGCACCCAAGCTCAATGGAATTACTAACAGTTCCCACTCGACTTATGGCCTCCAGAAATGTGAGATAAATTTCTGTTGTTTTAAGCTACCCAGTTTGTGGTAATGTGCAGCAACAGCCCTAAGAAACCAATACACAATACATCGTCCATTCTATCTTGTCATACATAGGTTTTTGCTGGGGCTCCTCCATCCTCATGCACCCTTACCTCTTCAACATTTAGGGGATCAATCTGCAGGGAATTTTCTCTGATTTTCCAGACCATTGCATCCATCTCCTATTTGCTGCAATAACATCCTGAGGCCGCCTTGATCAGAGTCCTTATGAAACCATTTTGGATGGATTTTTATTTTTATGTCTCTTGACTTCCCAATAAGACTAGGAGCTTCCTGGGGGCAAGGACAGTGATAGTCTCTTGGTCACCATCAAAACTCTAATATAGAAACTCTGTCAGAGTTGATATTGGGTAAATAATTTGGAAAGAATAAATTTACCAGCATTCATATGCATATTCAGATATGATTTCTGTTTTGTTTTGTTTCAAACACACGGTTTTCAATAAACATTGGAGGTAAAAAGAAGGTTCAGTCTTCAGTCTTCTCCTTTTACCACTTATTCATTTCCATGTTCCTGAAATTATCTTTAAATATTAGCTTCCTGCTGGCTGTCAGACCCTCTTACAACTTACTGGAAACTGAAAATCTTTAGATTAATCACTTATCCTGATTTCTCCATTAAAATATTTTGACTTGATAAATGGCAGGTCTTGTGCATGTTCCTTTCTGGCTTTTTTTGTTCTTTGCCTGCTTTTTTTCTCCCTTTCTCTTTTTAATAGCAATAACATCTAGAAATAGGGTTTATCAGTTCTGCCTGATGACCAAGGATGAAGGTAAAATATGAAGCAGATTTTCAATGCCGATAGCAACAGAAAGGAACAGGCAGCCCAGACTTGCTCTCGAGCACATTTGCTGTGTTTAAATGAATTTCTTTTCTCAAATCAAGGTACTTGCAGGCACAACATCCCAGAGTCCCAGGATTCTCTGTGATTTCTCTTTGCCTTGACCTGGATTCTCATCAACACTGGGGATTTGTTTTTTCCTTTGTAACACTGACTATGATGAAATTAGTTGAGGCCCTTTAAAAGCATTTCTGCTTGTATAAATGAAAATGCAAGCATTACATGTGTCCAGCAGCCAGCAATTCTGTATGAACTCTCTCTACGTCTTCTTTCCCTATGCTCCATGGAAACCAAGTTCAGGGGCAATATCTACATGGAGAAGACTCATGTATTACCACCTTGCAGAAATACTATTTTAGATCACAATTTCCAAGAACAAAAAAATAAAGTTTTGTGCTGATGCCAGAAACCCAAATTTGAATAAGAAGACCTAGTTCCAACTCCAAGCTGCTACCAGATATAGGATTTGAGACCTCTTTGACAGTCAGCATTCTCATGTGTGAAATAAATAAGTCAAACATCCCCCTAGGTTTATTTTGAGGATCGAATGAAATATCTATTTTAGATATCCCTATAGAGAAATACCATATACTTCTATCTCTACCTATGTCTGTGTCCATTACTATATCCACATCTGTATCTACGTCTACATCTTCATCTACATCTAAAATGCTCTAGGATGCATAGCACAACTTTGACTACATTCACTGGTTCCTTACCTCATCCTAATTTTTTTTTCTTATAAAGAATGATCAGATAGCTATATGCAGGGTGAATGGAAGGGAAAAGTGTCTTGACTAGGAACTCCAGGCAAGACGCTGTGATCAGTTTTAAGTAACAGTTTACTTGGACACATCTAAGGGTAGGGGCAGGAGGCTGAAGAGAAAAGAATTTAAGAAAAACTGAAAAGAAATAATCAGTAGAAATTGCTGATTGAAATTTGGATTGTTAAACAGTGCACAAAGGAGGACCACATCTAAGATTATCTAAATATAGAGATTTGGAGAGAAATTGGGAATGTAAGACATACAGAAGAAAGCTGTTATTTTGGGGAAAATTTGGTTTGTTTGTTGTCTATTTTGGAGAGGTAGAGGCAATGAATCATTCCATTTGTGTAAATAGATTGTGTGGATTTGGGAAACCCATGTGATTTTATTTGTCTTCAGGACTCTATGGTGGTTATGATTTGGAGAGTATCTCTGTGTGTGCCTAGGGTTTTGGCAGTCCCTATATGTATGCAATTGCAGGTTATTATAATATGTACAGCACCTCGAGTGCTTTTCCTTTTAAAGTAAATCCATTTGCTTCCAATCTCTGAATCCATTTGGCATTTTGTGTTAATAATATCAGAGATTCGTGTAGTCAGAGGAACTGTTGCTGCTCTTCCCAGGGATTTGTTTCAAGCATTTGAAGATAAAATGCACTCCATCTTCTTATCTACTGTAGCATTTCTGAAATGACAGCTGCTCCTTCTATGGGGGGAGAATTAGCAGATGGACAGCTATGACTGACTGGCAATAAATTCAGTGTCTCTAATCTGAAAAGGGGTCCTCTCTCAAATAGTTTGAAGTTCTGCTTTCTTTATAAGAATCATAAAATGGTGATTATTGCTACAGTTGGCCCTCCGTATCCATGAATATGGAGGGCCAACTGTACTAAGCCATTTTATATAAGAGACTTGAACATCCACGAATTTTGGTATCCATGGTAGTGGGTGTGGGGAAGGTGTCCTGGAACCAATAATCTGCAAATATCAAAGCACGATGTTATTTTTCCCTCCACTAAAAACTGCAAAGTTAAAGGAAAAAATTATCCACTTCATTTTGTTTTTCACAAATAAAGACATTTGATCTGACTTGTCCTCCTTATTTTAAAAAGCTTTAGTTTAAATAGCTAGTTTAAGATAAAGTTTATACGCACTAAATATGCCAGATCTAGGATGCTCAGATATCCAGTTTGTCTAGGAATGTTGCATTTTTAGCTTTGAAATACTTGCATCCCAGTGACTCTCTCAACAAATGCACACCAGAAATGTGATAACCTTGCCTAGATCCTTAGTTTTAGAAGGAGGTGCAGAGCTGGAATACTTGACCAAAACTAGGCTGAATTATTTTGCACTGATTGAATGTTTTTAGGCGGGACTTTCACACTCCACTGAGGCTCAGGCATCCTTATCACCTATGTTTTCCTAGATTGTTTCCCACATGCATTATCTTCCTGTTCTTTTCAGGCATTTGCAGCCAATGTCCGGAAAATTCCTAATCCTTAAAACTGAGGTTTTTTCTCCAGCCTGGGCGATAGAGAGAGACTCCATCTCAAAAAAAACCAAACCAAAACAAAACAAACAAACAAAAAACTGAGGTTTTTGTGGGGCATATCTCTTTCCTTAAGAAAAGAGAAGAAAGCTTCTGATCTCCAGAAAATATAGTCATTTTATGATGAAACAAAAGCATCTCAACTGAAGTTATTAAAGAGTCAATCAGCAGCACTAGTCCTAACTAAAGGGTCACTGAATAGAAGCCACCAGCTGCACGATATTCTGAGTAAAAGGGAACTTTAAAGGCTGGACAGTTTCAAGGACAATGATGTCACTAAAAATAATTCTTTTAACATTAATTGTGGATCTCGTTTATCTGCTGAGAACAGGGATCATCCAGAGGTTGGGAAACAAGTAATATAACCAAAGGCTTTAACAACTAGATCCTGAACTACCAGGACTCCTAAAGCCAAGAAAGGACCACAAGCAGAGAAAGAGTAAAAGTGAGTCACTTTCTAAAAACGAATCTATAGAGCTGCCTTCAGAATACAAGAGGATTAAAAAATCTCCCATCTGTCCACGACTAAAAAGTAGAGGGACAGAGTCCATCAGACTGAATAAATGATCCCAGGCTCGATAATATTAGTGCCTGCAGCACAGCAAGCTCTGGAGCCTAAAGAGAGGCAGCATGTTTGAGATTTAGGCAGCAGCTTCACCATTCACTACACATCCTAGGTGCAGAAGGCAGCCAAGGGTACAAGAGGAGAATATCTATGAAGGCAAAGAGATACATTAAAGCTTCAAGAACACGATGAACAGCATGG